TCGCCTGCGGCCCCGGGGACACCGCCCACCCCCCTCCAGGACTGGTGGGCCAGCCAGATCCAGCGCTGGTCCCTGGGCTCCTCCGCGGCGGACTGGCTCGCCTTCTCGCTGGCGCGGGACGTGGCCCTGGGCGTGCTGGCGTGCCGCAGCAGCCGCGGGGCGCGCGGGGCTCGCCGCGCGGCCGTGGGCTCGCTGCTGTACGGGATGCTCCGGCTGTCGCTGATGGAGCCGCAGGCCGAAGGCAGACCAAGCGGCAGGGGCGTGCACCTTCCCAGGCGTGATGGCGTCGTAAGACCATATTCGGGACGAAGGTTTTTCGCGCTCTCTTCGGCCTCGGGAGGCCCTCGCCGGCCTCGGGACCGTCAATAAGACGACTCAGGACGAAGCACTGGTCCCAGGGAGAGGGTCGGGACTTGCGCTGTGGAAGTCGATTAATGGAGAGGAAGCATGCTGCCAAACACTTTCCAGATGTCTGAAGCCTGTTTCAAACATGCGCTAAACATGTACAAGCGTGCTTGACGCCTCTTTTTTTTGGAACGCTTTTTTTTACACACTTGGAGCACCTGCTACACTCAATGATCGGATTGTCAGGGTGTCCAGTGTCCTCCTCCTCCTCCTCCTCCGCCTCCTCCTCCTCCTCCCCCTCCTCTTCCTCCTCCTCCTCCTCCTCCTCCTCCTCCTCTCCTCCTCCTCCTCCTCCTCCTTCCTCCCTCCTCATCCCTCCTCCTCTCCTCCTCCTCACTCCTCCTCCTCCTCCTCCTCCTCCTCCTCCTCCTCCTCCTCCTCCTCCTCCTCCTCCTCCTCCTCCTCCTCCTCCTCCCCCTCCCCGGCGGGGGGCCTGGGACCTTCGGGGCTCCGCGCGGGCTCCCCCTTGGGGGCGGCGCGGCCGCCGCCGCCGCCCGGCGCGCTCCGTGCCCCGGGGGGGAGGAGGGGCCCGGGGTTCTAGGCCTCCTGGATGGGGTCGGAGCAGATGGGGTCGGAGGATCGCGCCGCATCGCCGATGCATCGGCGATGCGGCTCGATGCGGAGCCCGATTCTCTCTACGCCGACGTCGCCGATGCATCGCCGACGTCGACGCCTCATCGCCAGTGCATCGCCGATGCATCGCCGATACATCGCCGATGTATCGCCGATGTATCGGCGATGCGGCGCGGTCCTCCGACCCCATCTACTCCGACCCCATCCAGGAGGCCTCTAGGGGTCAAGTCGGGCGTGCACCTCTGCAGGAGGAGGATTCAAACATGCCCAAAATCTAGTCTGGGGGCGATGTCTTGACTGTTTTGGGGTACTACTGGTTCGGGCCTGGGGTCAAGTCGGGCGTGCACCTCTGCAGGAGGAGGATTCAAGCGTGCCCAAAATCTAGTCCGGGGGCGATGTCTTGACCATTTTGGGGTACTATTGGTTCGTGTCCTGACTCTTCGAGAGTTCTCTGATTTTCGGGGGGCCAAGATTCTTTCATCTCTGCTTGTTCCATCCTGGGCCGCTTGCTGGCCACTGGGGAGGCCAGGAACAGTTAGAAACGAGCACAATTAGAAATGAGCACGATTAGAAATGAACGACGTGTATGTTTGAGCATTTTGGCGGTATTTTTTCCGTCCACAATCAGCCTGTAGGGGGACACGCCCGACCTAAGCCCAGTGCCGATCCGAGCAGTCCGCGCGGACCTCCGAAAGTTCATGCTGATGTTTTTTTGTTTCTTCCTCGCAGCAGGACCAAACAACGGCGCAGATGGTGCTCAGGCTGCTGCCGTCCGCGGTGCTGGTCGTGGCGGCGCACTTCCTGTCCGCGGCCTCCCAGCGGGCTTGCGAGGGCGCGGGGGGCGGTGGGGTCCCTGCGGCGGCTGCGGGTGCTGCCGCAGGTGCCGGCGACGTCGCAGACTCGCAGTACTCCTCCAAGCTGTCGAAGCTGCAGACGCTGATGCTGCTGCGGCCCTACTTCTGGCCCTCCACTGGCGAGCCTATGGAAGTGCTTGTCAACCGGCTGCGTGCGGGCTGCACCTGGGGTTGCGTTATGCTCTCGAAGCTGTTTAATCTTGTGTCGCCCCTCTTCCTTGCGCGAGCCACCAACGAGGTCACCGTGCAACTCTCCGCAAAGTCGCCATCGCTGACGACTGGCATTGCGCTGAACTTGATTGCCTATGCCGGGCTGATATTTCTGTCCAAGACACTGAAGGAGGCGCAGTCGCTGGTCTACATCAAGGTGCAGCAGGCTGCTTACATCGAGATAGCCGACGAGACTTTTGCCCACCTCCACAACCTATCGTTGGATTGGCATCTGCGCAAGAAGATGGGCAACGTCATTCGGTCGATGGACCGCGGCATCGATGCGGCGCAGAAAACGATGCAGTATGTGTTTCTGAACCTCCTACCGACTCTCATGGAGGCGTTCGCCATCATACTCATCTTCATCTTCCACTATGAGAACATGCGCCTGGCGATGTTTGTGTTGGTTAACCTCATCTTGTACATCTACGCCACAGTCAAGGTGACGCTTTGGCGGAAGCAGTTCCGGACGGCCGCGACGAAGAGCGACAACGAGATCCACGATCGCTTGACCGACTCGATGGTGAACTACGAGACCGTGAAGTATTTCACCGCGGAGGACTACGAGCGACGGATGTACAGGAACGCGGTCGTCAGCAACCAGGTTCGGGCGGTGCCAGTGGTGCCCCCTGCCCAAGCTGCCCCCAGGATTTCTGGGGAGGCCGCCGCGGCCTCTAGAGGAGGAGGAGGAGGAGGAGGAGGAGGAGGAGGAGGAGGAGGAGGAGGAGGAGGAGGAGGAGGAGGAGGAGGAGGAGGAGGAGGAGGAGGAGGAGGAGGGAGGAGAAGGGAGGAGGAGGGAGGAGGAGGTCTAGAGCACCCACTGCGAGACCCCACGGGGGCACGGCGCGGCACGCTGGGCACACGTTGGGCCAGGGATACCGTTGGCTCCCCCCGACAGGTGGCCTCCATGGCGACGCAGGCGTCGCTGTCCTTTCTGAACATACTGCAGCAGTTCATCGTCAACTTCGTGCTGGCCGGGGCCATGGGCATCGTGGCGCTCAAGCTGCTGCGCGAGGGGGGGCAGCTCGGTGATTTCGTTGCCGTGAACGTCTATATCATCAACGTTTTCACCCCGCTGAACTTCCTGGGCACCATCTACAACATGCTCGTGAACGCTGTTGTGGACATGCACAACTTCGGCCAGCTCCGAGCGGAGACCTCAGAGGCGCTGTTCTCCCACCTCCTCCTTTCACTCCTCTGCTTCTTGTCCTCCTCCTCCTCCTCCTCCTCCTCCTCGTCCTCCTCCTCCTCCTCACTCCTCCTCCTCCTACTTCTCATGTCCCCTCCTCTCTCGCCCCTCCGTCCACCTAGCTCCCCTCACCCTACCATTCCATCTCACTCCCCCTCCCCCCCCCCCCTATCCCCCCATCCCCCTCTCACCCTCTCCCCTCTCCCCTCCTCCCCTCTCCCACTCATTCTTTCGTTCCGCAGGCCAGAGGCGGTCCAGCCGCCTGGGGCGTCCCAAGTTCCCGCCCCTGCTCCCGCTCCTGCCCCGCCCTCCGCCCCCTCCCGCCCCCCCCCCCCGCCCCCCCCCCCCCCCCCGCCCTCCCCCGCCACCCTCCTCCTGTCCACGTCCCCCTGCTCTCCCCTCCCTTCCCACTCCTCCCCTCCCGCGCTCCTCGCCCCCCACCTCCCTCCCCCCCCCCCCTGCTCTACCCTTCATCTCTCCTCCCCCCCCTCCCGCTCTCCTCGCCCTCTCCCTCCTTCCCCGCAACAAGTAGTTCCGTGCGCAGCACGACTGCCGGCTCTCTCCTCTCCGCCCGACGGGCCGCCCGCGGCCTCGCTGGCCCCGGCCGCCCGCCTCTGCCCCCCTGTGGAGGCCCCCAGCCCGCCCAGCTTCGGCCCCCACCCGGCCAGCTGCGCCGCGCCGTTTTTTTTTTTTTTTTTTGTTTGTTTGGTGTTGTTGTTGTTGTTGTTGTTATTATTGTTATTCAAAGATGTTTTTTTGTTTGTTTTTTTTTGTTGCTTTTTATTTGTGTTGTTCTTTTTTGTTTTGGCCTCTGTCTTGGGGGGGGGGTGGTCCCGCCCGCCTTCCCGGCGCGGCGCCGCCCCGCTGCCGCCCCCGCCCCCGCCTCCCGCCGCCTGCGGCCCCCCCGCCTCCGCCCGCCGCCCCCGCCCGCCCCCCGCCCGCCTGCCGCCCGCTGCCTGCCCGCCGCCCCCGGCCACCGCTCCGTGCAGGGCCGGCCGTCTCCCCCCGTTCTGTCCGTGCCCTGGCGTCGCTCGGACGTGTGTATTTTTTTCTCGGCGAGGACCCCTGCGGAACATCCTGGATCATCGAGCGAAGAAGCACGCACGAAACCGAAACATGCACGGGAAATGGACGTCCGAGCGACGGCAAGGTGCCCTCTTGCCGACGCTGCGCGCCCCGCGGGGGGGGCGCCCGACGCCCTGGCGAGTCGCCGCGCCGCTGCGGCGGCACGAGTTTTTTTTGTGTTCGCTTTTCGACGCTGCGCGCCCCGCGAGTGGCGCCCGACGCCCTGGCGAGTCGCCGCGCCGCTACGACTGAACGAGTGTGTGTGTGTGTGTGTGTGTGTGTGTGTGTGTGTGTGTGTGTATGTTTGTTTGTTTGTTTGTTTGTTTGTTTGTTTGTTTGTTTGTTTGTTTGTTTGTTTGTTGGTTTGTTTGGTTCTTTGTTCGTGTGTGTGCCATTTGGAAAGGCAGCGCAATTTTCTATGCGCCGCCCGGTTGGCCATGTACCAGACTTCCATAACAGCAGTGGACATCCAGGGCGTCAGTGGAGCCACTGTACTATACAGCACCGACCAGCGGCACTTCCCTCGACAGCCTGGGCGCCAGCCCCAGCAACTTCCAGCTGTCGTCTCCCACCGTCGGCTGTGGCGACGTCAAAATGCCGGAGCGCCCTCTGAGGAGGCACGCGGCGACCGCTCGGACGCCCTTTGTTCCTGCAGGCGCCGTGGCGAGCGTCCCTCGCGACAGGCAGTACGCTACGCTACGAGTGTGCAGTCGGATTTTCCCTGTTTGGCGCCTAGCAGCTAATTCGGACTGTTTCCGCGCCCCGGACAGCTTCTGTCTCCGCCTGCGCTTTCGCTAGCGGACGCGACCGAAAAAAAAAGAGTGTGCAGTCGGACTCAAAAGGTCTGGTGCGACGGGCGGAGGAAGGCAGGTAGACCTCGAGCCCCAGAGTTTCTGGTTGATCATCAAGCGGGCAACGGACTGAACCACAAGTGGCTGCCTCGCGACTCCCAGGACATTCGGCCAATGCCAAGGTCTGCACCAGGCTCGTCTGGACCAGCCGCGTCGAAGGCGCCACTACCAACACCACCCATGCCATTGGTACAACCACCGCCAGAGCAGCCGAGCGAACAATTGGCAGCCGACCCACCCACAGCAGGAAGCGAACTGCTTGCAGAAGGGTGGACATCCCTGGCGGTCACCACGGCACAGGCTGCCAGAGCATTCTTACAAGGACTGTGGCACGCCATGAGGCACGGTGGGCCGTCCGGGCCCAACGTGGGCCCGGTGGAGGACGCTGACACGTTACCGCGCACTTGGCCGACGTTGATGGAGTCCTTCACTGATGCGGTTGTTAGGCTCGCCAACATGGAACACTGGTCTGCTTTGGGGCCTGGCTGGATTTCTGCCCACTTGGAAACGACGCTGCGGGTGTCTGGGGTCAGGGCGCCACATGTGCGCCTCTGGAAATGCGACGGCGACGAGGACGCGAGGACACTTTTCGTTACCCATCGGTCGTTGTAAGTTGGTCTTTCTGGAGTCCCAGATTCCAATCTACTTTCAGCGCCTTCCTACTTCAATGATTGAGTGGCTTCGCATTGTCCTTCCTCTTTAGGGGGCGGGCGGACACCCAATCTATTTTCAACGCCTTTCTGCTTCATGTTTCTACCTGCTGCTTCCGACCGATGGGTGAGTTCCCAACACTCCAGGACAACGCCTCGTTCAGGAAGGTGACGGAAGGAGCCCCAGTCGGGATGCAACCGCATGTCCTAACTTGACCCCCAGAGTACCACTTCCAATGCAAACGTACAACTTTTCCCTCGAGGGATCTGTGTCCTCCAAAGGGCGCGCAACGGAGAGAAACCCATCTGGGCGGGCGAGGAAGACAGGGCAGGGGTATTCGTCCGACTGGACAGGGTGGCAGACGACCAACAGCTCAGGAAGCTCTTGCGTGGCATCTATGTCATGGCGCCAACATCGCAGAGCGGATTTCGTTCGGAAAACAGTAGGATGGGCGCGGAGTGTCTTGGAGAATTTCGTTCCGGATTTCGACGTGCATTTCGTACGGACTTTTTTGGGCCAGGAATGAAGACCAACAGAAACCCACGTGAAATTCATTGCTTTTTTCGCTCGCCGTTTCGGGGTGTTGCATTGACGGAAATCCACGCAACAATCCGCCGGAGCACGTGTGCAAGGTCGGTGCAGTGATCACTGGCGCGTTCTACCACGACAAGTCCCTGGGCCCACGGCCGGGCCGGACCTTGCACTCCATGCCCACGGTGCTGTGCCCTGGCTTCCCGTCAAAGAGAACGACTGCGAGGGAGCGCAGCGGAGTGTTGCGCAGCATTGTGCGGAGGCTCTGTGACGACGAGCGGCCTCCGGGACTCTGGACGAGACACCTATTGCATTCGGCATGGATGCCCTGATGGGCCCACACCAACCCCGCGTGGCGCAAGATGGAGGCGGCCGGCAGTGCTCGACCGCGGGAGGAGGAGGAGGAATATGAGGAGCAGGAGGAAGAGGAACAGGAGGGAGGAGGGAGGAGGGAGGAGGAGGAGGGGAGGCGGGAGGAGGGAGGAGGGAGGGAGGAGGAGAGGGAGGGAGGGAGGGAGGGAGGGAGGGAGGGAGGGAGGGAGGGGGGGGCGGAGGGAGGCGAGAGGAGGAGGGAGGGAGGGAGGGAGGAGGAGGAGGAGGAGGAGGAGGAGGAAACGGAGACGGAGACGGATACGGAAACCGAAACGGGGACGGATGAGCGAGGAGGAGGAGGAGGTGGGAGGATGAAACCCCCCATCTCCAGGTGCGAGATGCGCCCGACGCCCGCGTGCTCGATCTGGCGCCCAGGCCCAACGCGCCCATGGTGGAGTTCCGCGACGTCAGCTTCGGCTACTCCAGCCAGCCGCAGGAGCGGTCCATCAGGCGCGCGGCTCCTCCTCCATCCTTCCTATAAAAAGCTTCTACCTGTCGCGTGCTGGGACGGGTCGGTAGGGCAGGTCGGGCGTTTCGCCGGAGACTTCCTCACCATTTATGATGCTTTACAGCTGGAGGGCGCGCCGTTGTTAACTTGTGACTCTCGCCTTCGCGCCGCGCGCATTGGTTGATAAGCTTGCAACAGCTTCACGGATGGATGGCTGGCCGTTTTCAGCATGTGGTTCTCGCTTTGGCGCCGCGCGCATTGGTCTTACAAAGGTTTGCAAGATATTCACGGATGGAGGGCGGTTCCTTTTCAAAGTGTAGTTCTTTCGCGCCGCGCACAGTCGTCTTGACAGTTTGCAGCAGTTTCGGGACTCTTCGCGTTCACGTCTCCCAAATTGTGTCTTGGCGCGATTTAGCATTGTCAGGACGCGACATTCGCGTATTTTTGCGGTGTTGAAGTCCCAGGAATGGTGTTCTGGCACGAAATCCCAGGACTGGTGCTTAGGCATGCTTGCAGATCTGCAGAAGGTTGTTTTCCAACGGAACACTTCCCACGGTGCGAGCCTTTTTTCTGTAGGGGCCTGTGACAAGGGAGCTTCGGGGGAGGGTTTCTTGCAGCAGCGTTGATGGATCTTGGGTTTGCACGGGTCCTCTTCTTCCTCCTCCTGCTTGTGCTCCCTTTTCCCCCATTCTTTCTCCAACTCATTCCCGCCCTCCGCTGTTCCTTCCACTTGTCTGCTTCTTCATCCTTCCTGCTTCTCCCTTTCGCAAGCCTGTAAGAACCTGCCAGTCCTTTATTACGAACCTCCCAATGCACACGGGAGCCATCAACACACACGCACACACACACACATCCAGGAACCCGCGAAAACATTTTCAGGACCCCCCCCAAGGAACCCCTGGAGCTCGCCGCCCATACTCCTCCTCTCCCGACCGCCCCCGCCCCCGCCGCGCCCCCCTTTCCTCAGGGAATCCAGTGCGTGAGGGCGCGTGCAGGAGGAGGAGGAGGAGGAGGAGGAGCAGGAGGAGCAGGAGGTGGAGGAGGAGGAGGAGGAGGAGGAGGAAGACGAGGAGGATGAGGATCAGGATGAGGATGAAGATGAGGATGAGGATGAGGATAAAGATGAGGATGATGATGATGATGATGATGATGATGATGATGATGATGATGATGATGATGATGATGATGATGATGATGATGATGATGATGATGATGATGAAGCTGATGATGATGATGCTGATGATGATGCTGCTGCTGATGATGATGATCATGATGATGATGATGGTGGTGGTGGTGATGATGCTGATGATGATGACGATGATGATGATGGTGGTGGTGGTGATGATGGTGATGATGGTGGTGGTGGTGGTGATGATGATGATGATGATGAGGAGGAGGAGGAGGAGTTTCCCCAGGCGCGGCCGCAAGCGTGCACGAAGGGCGACGCTGGAAGATTCAGGCAAAACGGCCTGACAACAGATATGACTCGGGCACCTCCCACGAGGGAGTGCCGCACGAAGGAGGGTCAGGAAGCTAGTCCGCACCAGCGCAATCGTCCTCGATGACGACCAGGCCCCCGTAGGTGGCGTCGAGAACGCATTCGCCGAACGGGCGCGGCCTCATCTGACCCCTTTCAGGCGGCTGCAGCGGCAGCCCAGTGCGAGGGCGAAGTCCCTCCCACAGACGGTCTAAACGCGTGCGCGTCTGAGGAGGCACGCCACCACGGCACGGGAGCGTCAGGAGCTGCGCATTCTCGCTGGAATGCGCGCCGCAGCTGGAGCAAAAGACAAACTGGCCTACATGCCAGACGCGGTGGCCACCACCAGGGATGCAGACGGGCGGGTTTACCACAGCCCGCTGCCCAGCCACGCGGTAGCATCGGGCGCAACAGAAGCCCGTATGCGAAGGCACAGGCATGTGGGCGTCTGGGGGCGGCGCCGTGTCCGCCGTGAGGGCAGGTGTCTTACCCCGTCGCAGCGCCCTCTTCAACTGCCCATGGCGAGGGGCCGTCTGCGTCTTGGGGCCAACAGCCTGCAACGTCCTGGCCAGAAACTTGGCCACAAAGGTGACATGCTTGAATGATCGCAGCACTCGCTCGACAGCCGCGGCATCCAATGGATGCAGAGACGCGCCCACACGGGCACCTGCATCAGCGTGATGGTCCCCCCACCGCGCGACCGCGCCCAACACGGACTCGTCGTCATGACGGCGGCGGGCGTGGCCTTTAACTTGGAGCACCTCCACACCACCCCCAGGTCGTCCACCCGATCCCATATCCGAAACCACACGTCGGCCGCTTCGCATAGGGCGCCCGTGGTCTCGAGGCGGCCACGCTGAAAGCTCGAGACAACCCACTCGCAGTCCGAGTGGTGTCTGAAAAGGGCCCGGCGCAGCATGTGTGAGGTACATGAGCAAGCCGCATGCCTCTGCTAGGTCCGATGCCTGATGCGGGCCAGGCAACAGGCCGCGCAGGGAGGCCACCAGATCACCGTTGTGGTCGATCTGGGCTACGCACCAGCCCGCGCGACGTAGCCTCGGGTCGCTCTGTGCAGGCGCCGTGTACGAATCGTCGCCGAAGGCCTCGCCTTCGAGATGCCCATCCGTCGGACGCTTGAACCACTGGGCGAGAAGGGAGGGGGAGGGGCCGATCGCCCAGGGACGAGGGTCGGGGACCAGGCCGTGCCTCCAAAGGGCCCAGTCGGGGTGCTCACGGAGGCCCAAGCGGACGGAAGGGGGGAGGCCGTAGTCTCCGACGTACTGCCGTGTGGCTGGGCACCCGCCCGCAATCCAAGCAGCGAGCGTGCCCGCGCAGCAACCGCGCCGGGGGCAAGGCGGATCAGTCGTAGGACCGTGCCTGACTGCACGAGCTTGATCCCGCACGCCGTTCGCTGCAATGGCGCGGAGGCTGGCCTGATGCTGAGGGGTCCATTCGGGCCCGCGCGCCCCATTGCACAGGCTGCGAATGGGTGGCAAGTGCGGCCTATGGGAGAGACCTGACATGTATTCACAACTCTGGTGAGCACAATCCAAGAGCCAGTCCTCGATCGCCAGGCGAGCAACCTGCAGCGCCGAGCGAGGGCGCATTCGTGTGAGGTCAATCCTAAAACCGTCCTGTGTTATAAACATGCGCTCCAGGCCCGAGTCTCCGCCCGATTTGATGGCAACGCGCGACGGCAGCAGAGATCGGACTTTTGACCTGGGACCAGTCGCTTTTGCTTCCAGGAGTGGCCAAGAACGCGGCCTCCGCAGCAAACGTCAGACAAGCAATCGAGCCCCTAGGAATCCAGGAGGACCAGGTCGCCTGAGCAAGCCTAAGCATGGGCCCCGCCGTGCACGCATTTGCGGGATCTACCGTCCTCGGAGCGGCGGGGGCGAGGTGGAGGTCGACAGTGAGAGATCGGCGAGCGAGCGGTGTGCACGAACAAAGCCGAGTGCGCCGCACGTCGCATAGGTTCGATTCCACTCCAAGCCCTCCCCGTCACACCCACTCCTCACGTGCCCGCTGGGGTCAGTCCCGGGCTGATCAGCTGGCGCGTCTTGCCGCGAGCGGCGCGGAGCACGCGGATGCGCGCGACGCGACGCAATATTGTGGACATGCGTTTCGCTCGTGTGCACGCTCCAGCTCGCCGTCCGCATGCGGAGTCCACGCCGAGATTGCGTGCCGAATTCCTGAGCCTGCCTCGGAAGGGGGCGGCAGCGCTGCGCGGCCTCGCGACCGCGTGCCGACGAGTTGGACAGCGCCGCGCTCTTGCCGTCATTGACCACCTGCCCGTCGGCCGCGAGGTCTCCCCTGATCTTCTTGTGTGCGGCGCTGACACTCGCCGCCGCCAGCCTGGGGTGCCCGACCCTGCCGAGCTGAATGTGTCGTCCACCGTGTTCCCCGGGTCCACCGTGCCGAGGGCCGCCGTCCCGTCGTGCCGCGGCGCCAGGAATATGCGCGTGCAGAGGTCCGCGAAGCTGCAACCTGCGACCGCGCCCCGCCTGGGGAGGCACCAGGAGGTCCGCGAAGCTGCAACCTGCGACCGCGCCCCGCCTGGAGAGGCACCAGCCCATGGCCGCGCCGTCGACGGTGACCGGCCGCGGCATGGTGGAGTGCAGCATGATGAGCAGCCGCATCGGCATCGTGTCAAAGCCCAGGGCGCGCGCCCGGCTGGCCAGCAGGGCCCGCGGGATGTGCCCATGCGCCTTCGAGAGGTCCATGCGCGCCGAGCACGCGGCCTGCCTGCGGTGCGTCGCGACCTCCGCGCTGGCCGCCTGGATCCACGCGCGCGTCTCGCAGCCGCGACCTGCCGTGCCGTAGATGCAGTCGCGCCGGTGCTCGCTGGCCCAGCGTGCTCCGACGGCGCCGCGCGCCCAGCGTGTGAAAGGCCGCAGCGCCCCAGGGAAAAGCCCTATGGTGCGGGCCCCCTTCTGCCTTCGGCATGGGCGCCATCAGGAGCACCGTGAGCGACTTGGGCACGTAGCCGAGGACCAGCATGTGTCGCCAGATGGTGGTGAGGGCATCCAGCGCGCCGTCCGACACGAAGGCGACGTGCTTCGGGTGGAAAGCGTCGCCTCCCAGCCCTGTGGCGCGCGGGAAGGTGCGGCTCAACTTGCGCAGCTCGTCGGGGGGTGGCAGCGACGGGCCAGCTCGAAGCTCAGCTGGCCAACTGATCGCCTCCGACCCAGCGCCCTCGCCCCGCGGGTCGTGCCAGGGGCGCGTGTCCGCGCCCGCCGCCTCCTGCGCGGTCTGCAGGCCCACGGCGGGCGACGAGCGAGCCGCTGCCCACGGGGCAGGCCCGCGGATCCAGCGGAACGCATTGCGCATGCCATCTGGCGAAGTGGCATCGCGTGTCCAGTCCAGCCATGATTTGTAGCGCCTGTACGCCGCGCGGCCCGCTGTCCACCGCCAGGTCAGCCACGCAGCGGGCTCGCCGCCTGGGACGGACGGCTTGAAGCGCATAAGCCTCGCCTGCAACCGCCGCGCGTGGATGTCTCCCCCCGCCGCCCGCAGTGGCCGCCA